TTGTGGTTAACTTGAGTTTTTTCAAAGTTAGATTGGACAATATGAGGAACCAATTTAGCATTAATGGTTCTTTCAGATGCACACTTCTTTTGCCAATAATCACCAATACTTATAATTCACTGTCAGCATTAAACATATAGTACACAATACATTGTATGCAACATATATGTTGATAACCACTTACTATTTACCTTATGAATGGGTTCCTTTGAGCATAACGTGTCAATCCTAGGAATTTGGCCACCAGGCGCTCATTTCTAATGTAGAGATCGGTTGTCTCACACAGATAGAAGAGAGTTCCTTTAATGATATTGCCAGTGTCTTTCTGGCTAAATACTGACTCAATGATTACTCATCTTTGGCTTTTTCTAGCTACAGTGTACGGTATTTCATTTTTCAGCAGTCTCATTCCCTCTGAATATCAATGAAGATCTTCCATGGTTGTCATTCTTACCTTATCAGTGTAGAGGATGTTGATATCCTGCTAATAGAGTTGTGCAGGATTTGATAAAGGGGTTTCTAGTGCGAGCATGTCAGCTTCTTCATCTAGCTTTACCTTGCATGGGCTGACATATACAACCAGAGGATGGTCTTATCATGTAGTTGGTTTGCTTTCTGCCATCCATCAGGGGATTAACTACAATGAATTTAATACAATATTGCATGTGAGTCATTTGCAAATATTATGTTGGTGACATTTTCTGTATGTGATTCATTACTTTCAGCAACCCAGAGGAGAGCTCTTTATGATTTCTAGTTTAATATTTTTGCTGCTTGTGGGAAGTTTGAATGTTTCACAAGCACTATGTAACTCTCTCATTAATGTTGGTATAGAAACCATATTTGACTATGATGGCAGGTGATTGTCCACCATAATCTTTACATAAATGTTGACATGCTTTTTCTGTTTGACCCTATTGAATCTCTACACTATTTGTTTAGGCTGATTTACACAGATCATAATGGCATCAGGTGTTTATTTTACAAGGGAACATCTGAGATTTGGTGGTGACAAATTATCTCAGTGGTGGCTGTACAATAATTTCCACCTATGACTTTCTCCTGAGGTGCCTTTTAAGCAATCTCTTTGTGGAGCTAGAATTCCCCAATTGAAAATGGAAGTGGCTCAATGATGGAATGCAAGATTCTAGTGAATAATTCTGTTTGCAAGCACTGTTGATGTTCTATGATGCTGCTGATGCCTTTGAGGTGTAATAGGAATGATTGGATAAAATACTGGTACAACATAAGCACATGATGTTCTTCAACTCTTTTTTCCTGTTGCAACTTTTAGTGAATTGACGCCTTTAGTAGATATGGCTAACGTGGTGTTAGTGTGGCTAATAAAGTTGCATTGTCTATCAAATGTTACTCCCAAGTTCTTCAGTATTTTTTCAAGAGGGAGAGAAATACCCTAAAAGGATGGTGATGGCTTATCCTCATCAGCATGTATGTTGTTTAATGTGCAGAAATTGACTTTGGTTGGAATAATAACCACTCCTGTGTCATAGCACCATCTGATCATTCTGGGCTTGGTCATGCCTTATCCCCATTAACTCAGTCTGGGTTTGATTGTGTGATTTCTAAAAGATAATAGTATCATTACTTCACCAGTATTGGGTTGTTGTTGTTTTTGCAGCGTTTCTTGTGAGTATGGTATGTAAGAATACTATGTGTTTTCCACGCCATTATTTGATATAACATTTTCCTAAATGTATTCACATATTGTGCATATAGTCATAATATAAAATGTTTGTCCAAAAAGTCACCAAGTTTCTCTCATCCTGGTTACCCTGAATTTGGGCATTCAACTAGTGTCACATGTACTTTTTCGTGGAAAATGTTCTTGTGAGTGGAGTATATTATACAAAAATAGAACATTATCTTTTTCATTGGAAGATCGGGTGATATCTTGAGAATACCAACTCCATTATTTTGTGATGGGAATGATCAAAAATCACATGGGTAGCACCTACACTCTGAGAAGTATTATGTTGGTTTTTCATATATGTAATATCATGTTTTCTCAGTATAGAACATATATTAATACAATATTTTAACAAAACAAATATATTTAAAACATATTTGAGAGATTTCCAACAATAGTGCCACTAAAACACTTATTTTCCTTTGATTTCTTTTTATTGATAAATAAAAATTGTTTCACTATCTTGTACATTGTGTTCAGTTTCTTTCTTTATTTCAAACTTAGTCAAGGTCAAAAAATTTTGATCCACTTTTGATAAATTTTCTATCAAACCTCCCATTATTCTGTTACTCTTATTAAATTAATCTTAGAGGGAATCAGTGCACCTGAGAATACTACAGAGTAGGTAGAAAAGAGAAATTCTGTGATATGACCATAGGATTTGTTTTTGTGGATTTTCTCTTTTTCTCCTGACGAATGTTTGTTGCTTATGCACTTTGGAACTCTTGCGTTATTGAGTTGAAATTTTGCACTTAAGAAATGACATTTTACGTAAGTTATAGGACTTATGACCTAGAAGAAGAGCTAGTCTTTGAGTGTAAATGACTGTCAAAGAGAGTTGTCAGATCTCAGACAAGCCCTCTCCTGAATGTCAGAATTTCCCCAATGACACAAAGGTCCATGATTTCCTTCTTGTTGCAAATACAGACTTGTAAAGGAGAACTGGGCACACAGATGACTTAGAACATCACAGATGGTGTGTGGCCAAGCAAGTCCAAGAATGGAATGGACTCTATAGGACTTGCAGACATTCAACAACCTGAATAGCGCAATCCTAGCTCTGGTAAATGCTACCTATGATCAGTTTAGAGAGACCAAAAGGGCCACTAGTGGACAACTTCTACCTGTTTGACAGTTTCACCAGCAGGTGAGGCAATGGGCAAAAATTGGTGATGTTTGTAATCCATAGAGTAGTCATGAGTCTCACCAGAGGAAGTGGATGAGCTACAGAAGGTAACTGCCATTCTGTCCTCCAAAGGCAAAGACTTTATCCTCGTTCTCGATTAGAAGTCCCTGAAAATGTCCCACAGCATGTCTAATGTGGTCAGTTATGACTCTCTTATTATTAAAGGACCTGCTTTGTTGGTTCTATGAATTAGCTTTTTTATTTAAAGAAAAGCACCTCTCAACACTGGTTTGCCCAGGCGACAGAGAAAGGAGAGTTTTACAAACTTTCTAAAGTATTTGAAATTGTCTCTAATCTGATATGAGATGCAAATGTATAGTATCCAGTCTGTTTTTCACTCCCTGAAATATACAAACTCTTGAATCAGGTGATTGCAGGAATGTAATGAGAAAATATGACAATAGTGTCACTGTCCCTTTATTCCACTCTGCCTACATCTACCAGACTTTTTAGGCCAAATTAAACCATAAAAGCACTGGATGATGTGTTTAACAACATCAATTTCGGATTCAAGCAGTTTATGCTTCTTACCAAGCTATAAGTTAAGGGAAACTACTAAATATTTTCTCCCAAAACATATTGAAGAACTGACTGCATTCTAATATAAAGCCTAGCAAGTTTTTGCCACTAATTTTTGAATCCCTCTTTGTCATTTAGGACTTTCTTTGTAACGAAATCATTATCAGTAATAAAAAGCTTCACTACCGTACACATATGCAAGTGGGAAAGCAAACAAATGTAGCAACAAAACAGCTTCACTGCAGTGCACATGTTCAAGCAGGGAAACAAACAAGCATGATAAAATATTTTAAATTTTTTATAAAGACAAGTAGGGATCGATATATACGTAACATAGCCATCTATAGTAATGTAGAAAGTTTTAATGCTACAAAAAGTATTGAAACAAGAAAGTCAAAACTACAAAACTGAGTAACTTAAAAAATTTCAAAAATTTATCCCTACTTTGGCTCAGACTAACATAATTACAGTGATTTGTCAAAGTAGAGATAGTTCTTTTTTAATTTTAAGTAACTCAGTTTTCTAGTTTAACTTTCTTGTTTCAATATTTTTTGTAGCATTAAAATTTTCTATATTGCTATAATTAGCTAGATTACCTTCATATCGATCCCTATTTGTGTTTATGAAATTATTTTTTTATTATACTTGTCGTATTTATATATATTTTTAACTCTTATGTTTCTATAAAAATATTTGCATTTACGTTATTTTATGTCAGTTTATTTGATTGTTTACCCAAATACGGCGGCTGTAAAATAAATAATTTAATTCAATATTGCAATTCTAACATTTTACTTCGGACGTTTTGGATTTTTTATAATTCTTTTGAAGATTGGTAAAGTACAATCTAAAAAAGTTCATAATAAAATGCTTATTTTCACTTTTGTCGTGATCTTCCTGTTCAATTCTAACAAAGTCATTCATCGATGGAAAAGTTATGAATGTTATGTGAATTCAAAATATAATTTTGCATTTGCGTATATTCAGTTAACATGAATATTTATTTCCATGCTGATAAAAAATACACCCTCTCTTTCAATTATTGGCAATATTTTTTAATTGAACTAAAGTGAGTGACAAAACACCTGCCCCACCTCCAATAACATAGTAGTATGTCTGTGGACCTATAACACAAAAACCGGGGTTGGATATTCGTGTTGAGCACAACACTCTTTTGTTTTAGAACAAAACTAAGCTGGACTACCTGTTGTGTCCATCGCGGGGAATTGAATTCGAATTTTAGCTTTGCCAGTTTAAAAACCTACCGATAAAAGCACAGCACAGATAACTCATTGTGTAGCTTTTATTTCATTACTAACAAACAAAACACCTATATTTACCCACATCTTCTGAAGCTTATTGAAATATATATATATATATATATATATAACACAATATGGGTTTCACGTGCCTAGCTCTTCAAGCAGCTTAATAACCATAATGAATAATAAAAATGAACGAAATAAAATGTTATTTATGAATGGTCCACGTACAACAGAAATGCCTCAATAGTGTAACCTAGCGTCTCTTCACGATATTTTACTGTAGGGGTGCAGCAGAATAACTTTAACTTTTTACAACGGCAAAATGGCTTCTCCTCCAGAGCAGGTTGTGTGTACACCTACCTTTGTTTTTCAAGCGGCTTTTCCGGGTAAGAATTACTGGACAATATATTTACATATTATATTTTTTACTCAATATACACACACACGATTATTTAAGTGTTGAAGAAAATGTGATGATTGAACTGTCAATGACGTATAAAGTTTAAATTTGTAATGGCACTGCCAGGCCAATTTGTTGTCATATTTATTTAATTCTAATTGTAAGTAACGGTAAGTAACACGACTGTTTTAGTAACAGTTAGCTCTATTTCTACCCTGAGACTTAGTTCAAAAAAGTTAAGTTAGTTCCTTTGTGTAAAATTACACCACAACTAAGCCTGTCAATGTAATTGCCCCTGTCAGTGACATTCACATTCAGTGTTACTGTTAGTTAAATTTGACGTTGAGTTAGCAGAAACGTTTCAGTGTTTGAGGTTGTTACTCTTAAAAACCTGCAATTTAAGGTAAAATTGATGGGGAGGAATTAGTCAACTCAAATGTATATAATTTAAAAATTGGCAATTTCATTTTGTCTGCTATGTTCACTTCTTTATTGAACTGTTGACGTAGAGTTAGAACTTTGCCCATCTTTGGTATTAAATATCATGAGGAACTATTTAGTCCTCCAAAACAATCCTTGTATACACACTCAATATTTTTGAGGAAACCATTTATTTTTTTCTCTTAAATTCTTGTTAAGTGCTAGCCTCCATGACTACTAATGCCAATAATGGCAAAAGTCATTCCAGAAGCCACCCACCTTGTTATAAAAATAAAACTGTCTAAACTGGATCTTAAGCTTTCTTTTTTCAAAGTCTTAGATATGTTTCCCCAGTTCCTGATGTTTTCATAGTACAGCATAAAGAAATTATAGGCCTTTATTTTGTTGATATACCAGTTCTTTACTTATCACTAAAAAATGGCCTTTCCATCTCTGGGAATAATCATATTAGCCTTCCTTTGAACCATTTCCAATAATTTAATATATTTTCTTAGATAAGGATACCAAACTAGTATTTGTTTAAATTAAAGATAATTAACTCTTTTTACCTAATATATTTAAAAAGACTATTGACCAGATTTATGTAAAATCAAAGTGAATATTTTAAGGAAAATATATTTTTATTTTGCATAGTTATAAATTGTCAAAATAATATTGGAAAAATAAATTGCACATAAATGGAGACCTGTATAAAAACAACAGCTGATTAATGTGGAGAATTTTTTAATAATGTTTTAAATACATTGAAAAATACAGGCTAAAGCTAATGTTATTTACACATAACTTTTTGCATTTATGTTTTTGTTGTTTATTGAAGTTTAGTGTATGTTACATAAAATGAATATTATACTATGTTATATAATACATATATAAATCAAATAATGCAGTAAATGTAGAAGTACCTTAACTGTGTCCATACATAGTTGGTTGATATGATCCACCTTGGAACTACCTTGCAGTAATAAAACTATACATAATATAACTCTGAATGGACTGAGTTTATCTTCACAAACTTTGGTGAGTTTTTAGTAAGTGTTACAGATCTGTTGTACACAAAATAAGATTTTTTAATAAAGTGTTTGTATTTATACTAGAGAATTATTTGGGAATTTACAAAGTTTTTACTAAGCCAGCATGGGTGAATGGTGATTTTCATGCTAAGAATAGACATCTTAGTTTCATATTTCATTTGCATAACCTCTAGAATTCTCTAAATGAATATCAAACATTTTTGTAAAGCTTTATATTTTATTTGTTATTTAATATACTATTACACTAACTATGTTGAAATCATCAATGTACAGTGAAATGAAAAATTGGAAAATATGAAATAAAATGAGCAACACAGTTTCCCTCTCTGAATAGATCATTCTACTGGATTAATGGTATTCATTTCTTTACAGTTACAACTGTTAACCCTTTCATGTCTGTTTTCTTAAATTTTTATGGTTGTATTGCTGTAGTTTGCACCCACTTGGGTCAGTAATCCTCCCATTAAACACCAATAGACCACAGTAGTAAATGCTTAGCATGTAGTATAAACACTATGATCGAAGTGCATGACCCATTGTGATCTTTGCGAGTGCAAACTGCAACTTTGTAAGTGACTTTCTAATTAAATCTGTAAATAGGTTAAAAAAAATTGTTAGCTGCTTAGAATTGAAGAATAACAATCACACATGAGCCATCTAAGTCAAGTTGTCTAGATATGCCCACAAAAAGAAATCATAATAAGGTTCGTTTAGCCAGAAAGATACTCTTTCTATTGGTTATAAACATGCCTATGAAATAAGGACACACAGTATAGATGGATTTGTTCAAAACTATAAGGTGGGTGGAGCTTCAGTATGGGTTTAACAAATTCATTTATATCTTGCAGATCAAAATGGTATGGGGTTTGCATTTTATATTCTGGCCTGTCAGTATCTGTAGTTTATGTTTCTAATTGGTTGTTCAGTGAAATCCACAAAAGAAAAAAAGAGAAAAATGAATTGGAAGGTAGGTGTGTCATATGACACACAGAAGTGAAGATTGACAATTAAAAAAAATTTCTTTTTGAAATTAAGAAATTAAAACTTAGCTAATATAAAACTTTTGACTTGAAAGTATGTTTTAATGCCAAGTTTATTAACATACAGTGGTAGTAAAGTTATTTAATAATATATTTAATGTAACTTGTTTTATGTCATGACATGCTCACTTTGAACTGAAATCATAGGGTTAAGAATCTTAATGAGGGACTAAAGTAAAACCTGATGGTAATAAGAACTACAATAAATGTTATTCAGAGAAATGATACAGTAGAGATAAATAACCAAGTATCTTTTATCTTCAGTACTCTTTCAGAAGACACTAAACCAACTTGTCCATGCTTTTAAATAGTATCTACTTTCTATTATAAACTGTCTAAAGCTTCAGCATGACATTTTATTATTTGGAAGATATTGTATTCAAATTTATCAAGTTTCTACTAAGATTCTTTAGAAAATATTTAACTGTCTTCTTACTTTTCAATATAGAATCAGCCTATAATATGCACAAATTTTGTATTTGAGTAATTTTGTACAAAAGTGCAAAAGTCTTCTCACTGTTAGCACAAGATATTTTTTTCTTCCTTTTTTTTGGATAGTAGCTATTAGCTGTCCCAACTGGCAATGATCTGAAATACGAAGTTATGAAACAAGGTAGTTGCCATTTAAACTACTGATTGTTTTGCCTTATTTTATAAGTGGAACTGAGTTGATAGGTGATGCTGTTTTATTAGAATCAATAAAAAAAAAAACAAGCAGCACTATCCCTCTCTTAATCAGAGCACAGAGATGCATTAGATATGGGGAACTGGAAACCCTGATTATCATATTATAATATTTATAAGCCAATGATATGGAAACGTAGCCCGTAGTCATGTCTGCATTATATGTAAAAAAGCAATGTGACTGTTGATTGAATTGCCAAGGTATGAGATTTTTTTTCTTATCGTTTGTCAGCTTGTTAGTATCAAGTTTTGTACATTAGTGTACATTTACTAGTTTGTCAAAAACATGGATAAGTGGGTGTTATTTATTGGGAAAAATGATTTCATGTTTCTTTGAGTAATGTGTCAGAAGCAAAGAAAGAAGAAATTATTAAATGCTGATGGTAGTGAAGAACAATAAATTAGTGGCTCTGTATCAAGCATTTCCTTGGTTTCTGTTTCTACTGTTGCTAAACTGGACAGCAGACCAAAACCTAAAATACGTAAATACCAGGAGGATTATTTTATAATTTACAGAGTTAGGAACAGGGAACAACTGCAGTGCATTCTTTGTTAAAATATTTTAGCTAATGACTTGTATGAAATAAATTTACAAGGCATTTTGAAACCAAATGCTCAAGAGCATGTGGGCAAAACATTTGCTTTCTTCAAGGCAAGAGAAATAATTGAAAGGGGAAGAGCATATTATTGTTCCATCAAAAGCATTGAAAGTTTCTTTGGAAATATTTTATTTGATTGTAAAAAGCATAGATCCACACAGTGTAATGCAATAGTTCTGTGTTTTATCATATGACACTGTTGTGAGCTATACAGCTTGATGGAACCACAGATGTTGCAAACTTAGCTCACCTTCTGGTGCTTGTATGTTACAAAGGGAAGTGTGAAGTTTTTTTTTCAATGCACTAAAAGGGTCAACTACAAGAAAGGCCATCTTCCAATTTTCCCTTATTTCACACAAAGCTATGTTGATCTTCTCTCTGCCTTCTAAGCATTACTCAAAAAATGTTCACGCTTAGCACACCAGTCTATATACCCCATCAAATTTGCACCACTTTTGAACATGTGCATAGCATGTGACTACTCTCCACCAATAATATTGTGCCACCTATATTGGCACAACTAATTTCCTCCACTATTCGCACTCAAACCTCATTTTCTCAATTGGCACAGCATTGTATAAACATTTTTTTTAGCATGTGGCTCCCGTTTATGATTGTGCTTTTTTGAATTTCAAATGTTTTATTGACAGTTTAATTTTACTGTGTTTGCATTCAGTTGTTTCAACAATTTTTTTTGCATTTATATCTTAATATCCAATTATAAGAAATCTTAGTATGAATTCGTGATTCAACCTATCGGCTTCAGAAATATCCGTTACAGTTGAAAACACTACTGGTACAACTTCCCGGCTTTCTCCAGAGTTCTATCCCTAATCCAAACCACTCTATCTCTAGTCCTACTGGTGACTCTGTATTAGCTGGCATAACCATGGTTCCCACTGCTCCGACCTCTTTTCTTGTACAACCTTCTCTACCCTTACCTTTGTCTCGGTCTCTACTCTGTCTACCTCGATCGGACAGTGTTCATCCAGATTTCACCACACTCTGTCTTTAAGCTTGGCTTTTATCAGGTCCATTGCTTTAGCCAAAGGACTGACTCCACATGTGGCATCATTCCCTTCCCGTTCCATCAGATCTTCATCCAAGTCCATTTACCAAAGTCGATGGTCTACCTTCTGCCTTTGGTCTCTTCAACGTGGTTTCCATCCTTCCCAGCCTTTTGTTCCTCAT